CAACCAATCTATGACAGTTTCCTGGGCTCTGGAGCATGACATACCGGGAAGATCAAAGCCACTCAGTTCATTCAATGTGCCATCTTGAGCAAACTTCTTATTCTGCCAGGCTCTCAATTTTTCAGTTATAAAATGGGAATTAGCAACGGTATCTATTTTAATAAGAGTGCTCTGAGCATGGAATGACTCATTACACAAGAATCGTATTACACAGGAAATGTTAGTTATTTTACATCTTATTGGCATTAGTATCACTGTAGCCATGAAAAAACAGGCTACTGACTAATATTTATCCATACTCAATGACATTTCAGTATGCTATTAGTGAGTTTATTATTTGTCCCAGGGCTACTATAACATATTATCATGAATTTTCTGGGCTTGAACAGAGAAATTTATTACCTTACTGTTTAGAAGCATAAAACCAAGGCGTAGGCAGGGCTGCAGTGCACCAGAAGTCTCTAGGAGAGAATGCTCTCTTAGTTCCTCTAGATTCCGGTGACTCTTGCTTTGCTTGGTATGTGGGAGCATAATTCCAATCTTTGCCTCCATCTTCACATGGCCTTCTTCCCTGTGTATGTAATATCGCCATGTTTTTGTTTTTATGTAGAACCCATTCATTGGATTTAGACACTAGCCTAAATCCAGGATATTCACATGCAGAGATCTTTAATTGCATAGACACTATTTCCAAGTAAAGTTTGGGGGATCAGGATTGGATTATTTTGAGTGGGGCTGTTTCACCCACTACAGTGAAACAAGCATGATAAAGGACTAAATGTAAGATGAAAGTTCTATTTTTATGTGTAAATACATAAAGGCATGCAGAAATATTTAATCATAGATTTCAAATCCTCCATATGTTAAATACTCTTTTTTTTTCATAAAATATTTACTTATTTACTTGAAAGGCAAAATTATAGAGAGGGACGGAGATACAGAAAGATCTATCTGCTGGTTCACTCCCCAAACGGCTGCAGTGGCTGACACTGGGCCAGGCAGAAGTCAGGAGCCAGGAAATCAACAAAAGCCACGCCCCGCTTGTTGAGACCTCGATCCTGCAGTTCTAACTCTGCCCACCTGGCGGCATCATGATATATATTTTTTACATGTTGCCTGTCTCTTAACAAAAAGGCATAATTTTGTAAACAGAGACAAGTTTTTTTCCTCAAAACATATGAAGAAAAAACAAATATAGGGGCCGCCATTGTGGTACAGCAGGTAAAGCTGCCTCCTGCAGCACCAGCATCCCATATGGGTGCCAGTTTGTGTCCTGGCTGCTCCACTTCTGATCCAGCTCCATGCTAATGGCCTGGGAAAAGCTGCAAAGGATGGCCCAAGTGCTTGGGCCCCTGCTAACTCACATGGGAGACTTGGACCCTGGCTCCAGCTTGGCTCAGCCCTGGCCTTTGCGGCTATCTGGGGAGTGAACCAGCAGATGGAAGATTCCTGCCTCACCCTCTCTCTCTGTAACTCACTTTCAAATGAAACAAACAAACAAAAACAAGTACCGTGCTTTTTTTCAATTCTCTTAGAAAGATGTCTATGTTTGTAAACAGACTGAAAAGACTTATGCATAGTTTTTTTTTTTTTTTAGTAGAACCTATGCACAGTTTTGTTTCCTGCCCAGTCCCACATCTCCATTTCATAAACTTAGTAAACATGTATTGGGGCTTACTGGTCACCAGGCACTGTCAGGCCAATTCTGTAGGTGCATTCCATACCCGCCCTCTTGATCTGTGGACCTGCATGTCATAAACTGTCCATGGGAGCAAAATGGACGTTGGAGTTCACCCCATTCTGTATGGCCTCAAATGAACTCCATTCTCCATTCCAAGCAAGTTTATTCCAACTTTCACCCTCAGTCCTGGAAAGTCAGCATCTAAACAGGAAATGATGCAGTTGAGTTCAGGAGAAGTTGCACCTTGGGAAACTGGCACCTAGCGCTAAGGGATGACCTTCCAAGAGGCCCTCACTTGTGGGGAGCAATCCGGACTAGACTGAGTTACTGGAATTAAGACTTATTCTATGCATCTGCTCTCCCACTGTGGGGAGCAACTCGGACTAGACTGTTACTGGAATTAAGACTTATTCTATGCATCTGCTCTCCCACAATATGGCGCTGGGAGAGGAGAAAACAGCTTCTACGCAGCTGCCTCCAGTTCAACCAATAAACTGTAGGACCTACTCCTGATTGGAGGAGAGCAGCGTACTCGGCGTGTGGGCGGCCGAGTTGGGATTGGTGGAGGAGAACTATAAAGGAGGAGAGAGACGGCATGCACCAGGAACATCTATGGGGAACATCTAGCTGAAGGAACACCTGTGCAGCCCCCGAGAAGAGCCGGCCGGCGGTGTGCCGCTCCCCTGCGGAAGTGGGGAATGCGGCCAGGGGGAACTGCCCTTCCACGGAGGTGGAAGGGATAGTAGCCAACCCGGGAAGAACCAGCAGCAAACCCGGGGAGGGCTGAGCAGACGAAAGAACAGCGCAGGGTCCTGTGTCGTTCCTCCACGAAGAGGGGGAGCGACACTCACTTATAGACAGAGACTGAAGGACAAGTCCACCCTGTGTGGTCTCAAGGGAGGAGAACTATAGACTTTACTCTTCCTTGAGTGCTTTGCAAGGTCAGAGTGTGTGGTTTCAGAACTGGTGTTATGCTTGTAATTCCCTGGAAGGGAGGTCCCTTCTGAGGTGACCAGGACTTTCTGCCTCAGGTAAGACCTGCTCTCCCAGTTAGGGGCCTGAGACCCAGATTCACAGAGACAGAGAGAGCAGAGACTCAGTTCTCAAAGACAAGCCCAGGACTAGGAATCCTTCTCAAACATCGAATTCTCCAAGTTTAGTGCAGTGGTTTTCACAGATTTCTCACATGTTGTCATCCATTCCCCAGGGTTTTTAAAGACAGTGTGTGTGGAAACAAGCATTCTCATGCCTTGCTACAGCTAAAATACCTAAGTGCAGCGACTTAGGAAGAAAGAAACAAGGTTTATTTCAGCTCACGATTTTGGAGGTTCACAGTCCAGGATCTGGCAGCCTCACTCAAAAAGTGAAAAATCTCTGTGTCTCAGTTTCTCCTTCTGTAAAATGGGGAAAACATCCATTCCTATTCATGGGTTGTTGCTTGAAGAAATAGTTAATATATAAAAACCCTTAGACCAGTGCTAGATACACAATGAAAAATTAAAATGGTGAATGTTGTATAAATATTAGCTGGCTGATATTTTATAGTTTTATAGTTTGCATCTATCTTCTATAAAGTTTAATAGTCTGCCAAACTAAATAACAAGTAGAGCAAGATTCTCCAAAGATTAAGTCATTTGAGAGTGGCACAGCAATGTGAGAAAACATACTATAGGGGCCGGCACTGTGGCGCAGCAGGTTAATGCTCTGGCCTGAAGCACCGGCATCCCATATGGGCACCAGTTCGAGACCCAGCCGCTCCAGTTCTAATCCAGCTCTCTGCTATGGCCTGGGAAAGCAGTAGAAGATGGCCCAAGTTTTTGGGTCCCTGCACCTATGTGGGAGACCCGGTGCCTTCTGGCTTCAGGGTGCAGCTCCAGCCATTGCAGCCAACTGGGGAGTGAACCAGCAGGTGGAAGACCTCTCTCTCTCTCTCTCTCTCTCTCTCTCTCTGTCTCTCCTTCTCTCTCTGTGTAACTCTGACTTTCAAATAAATAAATAAATAATATGAAAAAAGAAATCATGCATGAGAACCCTTCCTTCATAATTTTCCACCTTCATTGACTTAGGGCTGATCCAAGTTATTACATTTTGATTCTGACAACTTTCACAATTCTTATAACTCAGTCCTATTCATCAACTGATACTTTTCAAAATCTCATTTGAAAATATTCTGAGTATGTATTGTAACTGCAAATATCTTTAAACATGTATAGTCAATATTTTCATGAAATTCTTACGAATTTGTATTTGTGATGTAAATAACTTCAGAAATGGCATCAAAAACATGATGATGGGGAGAGGGTAACATTGGTTGTTTTGATTTGATCGGTTCCATTGTATACCTTTGTGGAAATGCCATATTGTACCTCATAGATTTGTGCAATTGTTGAGTGATAACTGGTAATCAAAAGTTCAATTGTTAAAAATTCCCCAAAAATATTTAGAGAAGAAAATGCTAACTAACTTGATTTGATCATCATTCATTGAATACATATAAGATTATCACACTGTACTCCACAAATATGTACACTTTAAACAATTTTTAAAGCGAGTTAAAGGAGAAAAAAGTGAAACATGCAACACCTTTGCTATTTTTAGTTTCATTTATTTTTAATTGGCACATAATTATACATATTTTAGGGTACTGTGTGATGTTTCAATACATGCATACATATGAAATGATCACATTAGGGTAATTACAATTAGGAGGAACACCTTCCAGTGCTCTATATTTAACAAAAACATATATTTCGAAATAGCTAGAAGAAAGGATTTTGAATGTTCTCTCCAAAAAGAAATGATAAATATTTGAGGCCATAATATAACTTTTAAAAACAGATCTCTGAACCACTAGCTGTCATATATAATGTACACAAGCTCTCTGCTAAAAGCTAGGAAAGCTTTTTAAAATGGAGAAATGTTTGTTTATTACCAAGGTTGCCAGCTTTCACTATAAACCCATCTCATGTCAATTCAAAGTGTGATAATAGCTCTGTTAACTTATGCCCTGAAGTGAAACTTGATTTATTGTGATCTAAGTAAAAGTGAAAAGATACACTTAGAGAATCAGAAAATCTTAGTTCAAGCCTTAACTCTCCCCTTTCTAGCCATTTAATGTCGGAGCAATTCAACAAACTTCTGAGTTTTAATTTCTTCATCTGCAAGGAGTTAACACTTGCACTACTAGCTACAATGGACTATATTAGAGTGTTTTGTATTAGAAAAAGCACCCTGCAAATATTATCATTACCCCAATAATTATTAAAATGTGGACCTACAGAAAATTGTAAATAATCACCACTTAGTGGCACTACAGACATGCTGACTACAACAAATTTAATTCATAGGGCAAACCATGCAAACATTATCAGCTTTCAATAGCAATGCTAAAAGTCTATACAAAGACATTACTGCAAAGTGACACTCTTAGAGAAAGCACCAAAAGCCACACATTTGTTTGACTTGAGACATTAAAATGAATTAGGATGACTTATAACTATAAAGAGCTATTTCGTTTTTAAGTTTAGAAACTAACTAGCCACCTGTAAAAAAAAAAAAAAAAAAGACAAGTATTATGGACAGTCCCAAGACAAATGAAAAAGAAAATCCATCACTTCTGGCCCCTTTTTGTAAGCCAGTCTTCAAACAACTCACAACATTAATTTTTCCAGTAATGACATATACTCTAAAAGAGGATGTGTACTTGTACATCACGTCCAGTGTATACTTACATAAAGAAGGGCATAAAACACAAGAGTTCCTATGAGTCCATAGATACCTGGGAGTTTTGACTACCCTTCATGCTCCCATGATAGTCTGGAAAGAATAAGTGAAATACAACAAACACTTCAAATATGGATCCTTTTTTACAAATCCTTATTATGCAGTTGTCTTATAATACTCCATTCTCGTGGGCTTTCTTCTTTCCCTCCTCTTTCTCCTCCCTTCTCCTCTTCTTCCTCTTCTCCTCCTCCTCCTTCTTCTTCTCTTGGTTGTAAAATTAAGTTTAATTAGGCCATTAACATTTCCTTTCAAGAATTCCTTTTCATGTTGGTTCTTATACTAAAAATTAATTAAGAATAAAAACCAAACGATGATATAAGCAAAGAAATAAAATGACACGTGCTTCGTTAAGTCTAAAAATATGCTGTCTGAAATTCAGAACAACTTAGTAACTCTTCATTATTTCATATGCATCTGGAAATGGGACAGACACATGTCCTGATCCTGTCACAAGAGGTAGAATTCCAGCAATTGGTACAACATTCCAAGATAGGGTCAAAGTGACATTCCGGTTTCCCTTGAGACCATTTCCATCATCAAAGAAAAAATACTTCGCTTTCACATCTTTCACCCTCAGCTTCGGATTGTCACCTCTCAGAACAATCTTGTCCCAGAGGACCACCTGGTTCACAGCATTATTTTTTGTTGAATATTCTGCTGATAAATAAAGAAACAACTGCTTAACATTCCAGTCAAACGTCTTCTCCAGATCAGCAGTTATATGAAATGTGATGAATCCCAGGTCGCTTCTTTGTCTGGGTCCAGTGAAGTCTTCTACATTTTTTAGCATGATCCGGGAGACCTGCAGCTGCACCGGCACGCACCTGTCTTTGAATGCGGTGGTGACGAAGCAGCCCAGGGTGACCGCCGCCATCACGCTCAGCGAGAAGGCAAACAGCGAGTTTGCCCGCGACAGCAGTGTGTTCATCGTGACTGTCAACCACAATCCCGTCTCCACCCGTACAGAAGGGCTCCGGGGTCCGCTTCCTCAGGCGCACCTCCTCCCTGAGATCCGCAACTCCTCAAGTGTGCGCGTGTTCCCGGGAGCGCGCGCCGCCCCGAATGCTTTCTGCAAGTCACTAATATTTTCTACAACCACTGTGGGATGAACTAACCTGAGAACACCTCAAAGCGCAAGGAACAACTGATCTCAGAAAACAGTAGCACCACATCTCCACCTGGTGGAACAAAAAGCCCCGGTGGTCGTCCCTGATTCCCACACACACAACCACCGCGGGGCTTGCCTGCCCTCCTGGCCGCGCCTATTCAGATGCGAGCCTGCCTCTGCTCACTGCTCCAGCACCGTCCTGTTTACCCGCGTCCCTCCCTTGCATTTCTGCAACATTCCCCTTATGCTCAGCCCCACACAGTAACTTGTGCCTGTTCAGCGTCTCCTGACAACAAGAATCAGATCGGGTCACTCCCAGACTCTAACCCTCCTCCCTCAGCATCAAAGCCAAATCCCTGACCTGGTCCAGTGCATGTGGCTTCCGTCAGCCCCTTCCACATCCCCTCCCAATGATTGCACCGTGTCTGCCAGGCTGCAGCCACGCCAGCTTTCCCTCTGCTCCTGGCGCAACTGGTGCCAGACCAAGAGTGGGGACACTGTCTGTCCATACTTGGCTTCTTCTTGTCATGCAGGAGTCAGCTCAAGTACCACTTCCTGAGACAGCCTTCGAGGCAATCCCTTTTTAAATCATCCCTGTTCCAGTCACTTTCTTTTTCCTTTTTAAAGGTTTATTTATTTATTTGAAAGTCAGAGTTACACAGAGAGAGAAGGAAAGGCAGAGAGAGAGAGAGGTCTTCCATCCACTGGAAAAATCTTGACCCAAACAGCTCACGTTTCAGTACAATTTACTTATTGCCTTTCTTGGAGAGTTCTGGGACATTTGGAGTGTCAGTTAAAGCAATTCTTCAAAAGTGGTCCTCTCTCCTAAGACCAGTGCTTGCTTTCCCACGTGGGATCTCACTCAGTCTCCAGAGTATTACTGGTAGTTGGGAGGTGCTATACTTTGGATATGATTTGGTTCTTGAACTCATACAGAATTTTCAACTCCAAAGTCATAAGTTAATGGTAGAAAAAGGGAGTAAACTTAATTCAACTATGGTGTTTGGGAGGTGTGCCTTAATGGGAGATCCTTAAGTCATTGGGGATATGCCTTGGGAAGGTAGTTCTCATGTAACTTCTTGAGTTCTCACAAGAGGGTTCTTAAGAAAGTCTGAGTTGGGGCCAACAAAATTGCTTTGTTTTCTGGTTCACCATATGACCTTTCCTACACACATGGCTCGCCATTGTCATCCACCACCCTCATCAGAGGCCAAAGCAATGGGAATGCCTTATCTTGGACTTGAACCTCTAAAAGTGAGCTAAATGAAGCTTTCTTTTCATAAAGTGAGTTGTCACAGGTATTCCATTACAGTAACAAAAAGGTGACCAATACAGGAGGATTGGACATTGTTATCCTGTTTTATAGATGAGGCCAGTGGAAGGCACGGCACTTACCTAAAATATCCCATGATGGAACCCTGGTCTCTTCACTCCCACTCCCTGAAGCTATTAGACTCCACATCACACTTGGTTTTTCTCTCTGGGTTCTTGGTTGTGGGGCACAAAATCCAAACCTTTGTCTGGTGTGACACTAGATGGCAGAGTAAGAGGTGAGAAAGTACATGGAATAGAGACATTAAACACAGGGGATAGGTGAGCCATGGCTTGCCTTTTCCCCACTTGGAGTTGTTCAATGACGCTTTTCCTCTTCTCCAGCTCTATCCACAATGACCTCCCATATACAACAATGACACTGAAGTTCGGACATAATGGAAAAGTGGAATTATCCCTGCCTGGTATTTCATTTCCAAGTATTCTCTCTGCAGTCATGCTATTATGTTAAAGACCCAGGCATTGATTGCATCGACAGAACATGGAGGCTGGAGCAAGGAACTCAGATTTGTTGTGGACCTACTGCATACCACAGACCATAGGTTGCTATTTTCAGGTTTTTCTCTTGAGATGCTTATCGTCATGCTGTGAGGTGAGGTGAGCATCATTCCATGCTTCTACAGTTGGGAAGATGAGCTCAGAGAGTGAAGTATATGCTTGACAAGTTCTAAGGAGGTGTCAAATAGACACTGAGGTGAATTTGAAGGGGCTCCCGCCAAGAAATTCTGGGACAATCTGAGCATAAAATATTTAATAATAATAATGGAATTTAACCATCTAAGAGAAATGGGAATCTATGAGTCATATGCTATAAATCAATACATGAGGGGCTGGTGCTGTGGTGTAGCGGGTAAAGCCACCTCCTGCAATGCAGGCATCCGATATGGGCGTCGGTTTGAGTCCCAGCTGCTCCACTTCCGATGCAGCTCTCTGCTATGACCTGAGAAAGCAGTAGATGATGGCCCAAGTTCTTGAAGACCTCTTTCTCTCTCTGGCTGATTCTCTCTGTGTAACTCTGTCTTTCAAATAAATAAAATAAATCTTTAAAAAATGTGACTAATTAAATAACAAAATGCTATCTAAGCTATTCTCAAATGTCAACTAATCATTTTAGAAGGAACAACAGAATTGGAAAAACAGCGCACGACACACTGTAGTAAGCAATTAAGTCAAGAATCATAAATGGATTCTCAGTGTGCATCAAATCTCACAGCAGTCACTGAGTCACCATGGTAACCATGCTGGCCTAGGAAAGGTGAGGAAAAAAGCATCATTCCAAGCCTCTTCCCAACATGCACTAGGCACTTAATAGGGCTGACATAATCACAGTAATTAACCTGAAGTATCCCTCAAAATAAACATTCCTGGCAGTTTCAATGATATACAAATGCATACACACATGCATATATACATGTCTATGTACATAAATGCTCTCTCCCGCTCTCTCGCCATTCAACATTCCAAGAATTCATTAAGGTGGATTCACTGTGAGGTGAAAAAGAACCACATTACAATGGATTAATTTCTAACTACCCATACAAAGTTTAAAGGTACTAAGCTATGTTCTTATACTATTAATTTTTCTGGAGATGACCTATAGAATTGTCTTTGGGACTTGTCTATCCTTAGTTTCTTTCTTTTTTATTTTTTATTTATTTATTTTTTGACAGGCAGAGTGGACAGTGAGAGAGAGAGAGACAGAGAGAAAGGTCTTCCTTTTGCCGTTGGTTCACCCTCCAATGGCTGCCGCGGCCGGCGCACCACGCTGATCCAAAGGCAGGAGCCAGGTGCTTCTCCTGGTCTCCCATGGGGTGCAGGGCCCAAGCACTTGGGCCATCCCCCACTGCACTCCCTGGCCACAGCAGAGAGCTGGCCTGGAAGAGGGGCAACCGGGACAGAATCCGGTGCCCCGACTGGGACTAGAACCCGGTGTGCCGGCACCGCTAGGTGGAGGATTAGTCTATTGAGCCGCGGCGCCAGCCTTATCCTTAGTTTCAATATATTGCCAATGACCTCTAAAAGTTGATATGGAAACACAATATCTAAATACAACTTAAGCATCAAAATACCTTTTCCATCCCAGAATGTCTGTGCTTTCAATCAAAAAGATTTAACAGTTATTGTAAAACATCTTTTTGCCGACAATTCATAGAAAATATAATTGCTGGGGCCAGTGCAGTGCTGGTTCAAGTCCATGTGCTTTACTTTCAATCCAGCTCCCTGCTAATGGCCTGGGAATGTAGCAGAGGATGGCCCAAGTTCTTGGGCCCCTTCATCCACGTGGGAGACCTGGATGTAGCTCCTGGATCCTGGCTTTTGACCACCCCATCTCTGGCTGTTGTGGCCATTTGAGGAGTGAACCAGCAGATTAAAGGTTCTCTCTCTCTCTCTCTCTCTCTCTCTCTCTCTCTCTCCCTTTCTCTCTCTCTCTCTGTAACTCTGCCTTTAAAATCAATCAATATTTTTTTAAAAATATAGCCATTGAAAATTATGTTTTAAAAATTATACCACTTAAAATAATATGAAAACTTTGAAATATTTATGGATAATCCATAAACACATTTGCAACACCTGTGCAATGGAACACTGAAAAGCATTGCTGAGAGGCCTATACTGCAAGCGGAATAAAATTCTACCAAACTTGTTTTTTTTTTTTTTTGATAGGCAGAGTGGACAGTGAGAGAGAGAGAGACAGAGATAGATAAAGGTCTTCCTTTTCCGTTGGTTCACCCCCCCAATGGCTACTGTGGCTGGCGTGCTGCACTGATCCAAAGCCAGGAGCCAGGCGCTTATCCTGGTCTCCCATGGGGTGCAGGGCCCAAGCACTTGGGCCATCCTCCACTGCACTCCCGGGGCCACAGCAGAGAGCTGGCCTGGAAGAGGAGCAACCGGGACAGAATCCGACGCCCCAACCGGGACTAGAACCCGGAGTGCCAGCGCCGCAGGCGGAGGATTAGCCTAGTGAGCCACAGCGCCGGCCCCAAACTTGTTTTAAGAGAAATTAACAGGCTGATTCTAACATTCAAATGAAAATGCAAAGTTACTAGACTGTGGAAAAAAATCTTTGTTTTAAAAAGATTTATTTCTTCATTTATAAAATCAGAGTTAGAGAGTGGGAAAGACAGAGAGAAATTTTCCTTCCATAAGCTGATTTCACTACCCAGATGGCCATGATAACCAATGCTGGGCCAGGAACAACCAATTTTCAACTAAGGTACAAATACAATTCAGTGATACCCATATAATGAATATGTATTGTGTGTATTTGTGTATGTGGGTATGTACATATGTACACTCCATTTGTAGAAGTCAACTAAAGTGAATATGAGAGCTAAATATAATGCCTAAACCTGTAAAAACTTGTAGAAGAACACATAGGAGGAATAGGTAAATATTTCTTAGATAACACACCAATAATATCATCCATAAGTGAACAAACTTATAAATTGTGCTTCCTCAAAATTGTTATCTTCTGCTCCTCTGAAGCCACTTGAGGGAGAAAAAGATAAAAAAAGATAAGCTAGGAAAATATTCGTGAATTGTATATCTGACCAAAGACTTATATCCAAAATACAGAATATCTCGCAAGACTCAATATGAGCCAAATAGACATTCCAATTAATAAATAGACAAATGATTAGAACAGATAATTCACCTATGCACAAATTGCATATAATCACATGAAGAGATGATCAATGATGTCATTAATTGTCAGGGAAACTTGAGTTCAAACTACACTGGATGTCACAAACCCTTTTATGCCCTTGAAAATGGCTCGAGTTAAAAGGCC